TAAAGGGCAGCTTTCTTTGTAAGCAACTATCTCCTGAAGATAAAGTTTTGGGGTACTGGTTTGTACACAGCTGTAGGAAGAACTATCCTCCAAACCCTAGCTAAAGTAACTCTGTCTTGTAGTGTGTCTCTGTGCCTTAGACACTTTTTGTCGCTGGGACAAAATACATGGCACTGCAACTTGATAAGGAAGAGGTTTATTTTGGCTCACAGTTTGTAGAGGTTCCAGTCCACGGTAGTATGGCTTTAAGGCAGGGCACCATGGCACAGGGGCCTGGTGGAGGAGTGCTGAGCCTGGTCTTCCTGTATACTCCGGAGCAGCTGTGATGACATAGCAGGGGGAGCTGTCTCCAGAACAAACTCCTAAAGGGACCAGCACTTCCTGACATCCAACAGATGAGCCCGAAGGCGCACCTGGGTTATCATATCACACGTGCTTAGGGACCAGTAGCCTGTTGGACCCTTACAGCATCCCGCGCTATTTATGAGGCTCCAGTGTTAGGGGCCTGCAACGCTCCCTCTTTGATTCTTAGATGTAAGAATCCTTCCCGTTCCACAGTGTCCCCAAAGTGCCAAAAGAGCACACACAGACGCTTGCCGCATCAGCTGTCGTTCTGTCTCCATCGTCCTGCTTAAGTGCCATGTTTTCTTCTGCTGGATTTTATTGCTTCTTTGGTAAGGAAAGCTACCAGGGCATAGGACAGAAGGATGGCCCTGGGGGTGAGGGGAAGGGTTTGGGCCTGGATGTGGAATCATGCTTCAGACGAGCACGTCACTGGGAGCGACTTGGAAGTGCTCCTTAGAAATGCTTGTCATTTCCCTGGCCTTGTTTACATCTTGAAGCAAATGCATTTTAAGGAAAACAAAACAAAACAAAAAAAGAACAAACTCTTTGAGCTGGTGGGTCTCTTTCCTCTTCCCTCTGGCTTCTGGTCTCCCTTGGCTGAATTTCACCACTGCAACACTGAGTGCAGGCCAGGCTTCCTGCCCTGGGCTACTGACCCGGCAAGGTACTGCCAAGGAGCCCGTGCACCGCTGGCCGTGAAGACTGAGCCCTTCCGCCTCACCTCGCAGAACAGCGCAGGCAGGGCGGCGATGGGGTCAGCTTGAGCGAGAGAAGCAGAGAGGGCCGCGGGCTGAGCAGAGGGGCTGGGAAGTCGCAGTCGCTGCCTGCTTGGAAGTGCGGCATCGACAAGGTGGAGACGCAGAAAGGCCTGGGCAGGAAGACGCTGTAGGGAAGAGGAAATGCTTTTCCTTAGCCTCACATTCTACATCCGGGCCCCTAGAGGTGACGGGGAGGAAAGACGGATTGACAGGGCAGCAAGAGCGGCAGATGGGGACCCTCACAGAACCGAAATGAAAACCCCTGAGAGGTGATCAGACTGGCTTCTGCACCATTTTAACAAAGGGCGATAAAGTTGCAGAGAAGCAACAAGACAAGGAGCTTGAGTCCCCGGGCGAATACGCTTTGGGGAAGTAAGTATTTGGGGAAGCTAATAGAAGATAAAGGTTATAGTGAAGTTTACTGTCTAGACACCCTGCTGACCAAGAGTCAGTCTGCCCTTCCTTGTACAGGGGGAGGGAGAGACCTTGACAAAGGGAAATAAATGGCCGGTTTTTCAGCAAATAGGTAGGTAGAGGGTAGAGCGCTCTTTTCCTTTTCACGGTCACGTTCAGCAAGGAACAACCCCTAAGCAAAGCAGTAGGTGCGGATCTCCCTGCACGACCTGTCGATAGCCTTTCTCCTGCCGGGCTGGGAGCAGGTGCAGGCAGGGATCGGCGATCTTGCTCCAGAGCCTCGCACAGGGCTTGGCCCATTTCTTTGGCTGCAAATTAATGGGTGAAGGATTTCAAGCTTTGAGCCTCAGTTTGCTCATCTGTAAAATGAAGACAAAGATGTTATCTTAGGCTCTGAATCCATCCCCTGCCTACCCGGACTTACTCTTCAGAAGAGTTTCCTGTGGTGGTCATGAGAGGGAACCGAGATGTCCTCCCTCTCTCTCTCTCTCCCTCTCTCTCTCTCTCTCTCAGAGTAGGAAGAATTTACAGAGAGAAAGCATCTGTCTGAGAGGGACAGAAGGGGTCCAGAAAGTGAGTTGCCCCAGATTCTCTCTCGATTTAAATAAGTAGTGCAAGTGCACAAATGCTGCTTCTTTTATCTTTTGTAATTAGCACATACTAGTTCTGCCCATTTAGGAGGCACAGTGTGATAATGCAGTGTATGCATACAGTGTGTTAAAAATGTCTTTTCTGGGGCTGGGGATTTAGCTCAGCGGCAAAAGCGCCTGCCTGGCAAACTCAAGGTCGTGAGTTCGGTTCCCGATACCGGAGAAAAACAAAATAAAACAAAAAAAGTCTTTTCTGTCTTAAGTGGTACTGGGATATTTCCAACACATACGGCAATTTATAATAAGACACACCACAGTTAGCATGGCGGTGCACACGGGTAATCCCAGCACGCTGCGGGGCTGAGGCAGGAGAGCTGCAAGCTCAAGTTCAGTTTGGACAGCCTAGAGACTTGGCAAGATTGGGTCTCAAAATAAAAAGTAAAAGAAGGACTTGGGATGTAGCTCAGTGCAAAGGCCCTGGGTTCAATACCAACTACCACAAAATAAATTAAATTAAATTATACATTATAGCAAACAAGCAGTGCGTGCTTTCTTGTCTTGCCCATGCCTGTGAGGAATGGCTCCCTGGGGGTGGAAGCGTGTGGGCGTGCACGCAGGCACCGCCTGCTCACCTTCCTCTGCTGAGAGGTGTCCCAAGGTAGGGCATGGCCGGAGCAGTGCGCGCCGTGCTCCTCACCACGTTCTAAGGGGCAGGAAGGACAGGTCAGGCGCACAGCTGCACAACGGAACGCTTGAAAAACGTGGCCCGCAGAGAGCCCACCTGCTCCAGAGCACTTCCCCACGAGAGCAGAGTGCACGGCTGGTGGGAGACCACCGGGGTGGGCCACCTGTCGTGGAGCTCGCTCTCAGCTTGTGCTGCCACGCTGTGCTTCCCGGGCCTCAGTTTCCCCTTTTAGTGGAACTGTCCCGAGGGCCTGCTCGGCTCTGCTGGTAACTGCAGTGCTAGTCTGGATTAGCGGAATCCCGGCGCCACCGCCCAGGGCACCCCCTCCCGCGGCCGGGTCCTGGGGCTCACCCTCCTGGTGGGCGGGGCTGGGCCTGACCCGCCCTCTCCGCTCTCCAGGCCTGCTGACCAGAGCGCTCAGAGAGGCCAGCCAACCGTGCAGGACAGAGGACCCCGCAGGCTGCCGGCAAGGCGGGAGTTTCTCTGTCATGGCAGGCCCAGGCGCTCTCTCGAGTGCGCAGAGAGGCTGCCGGTTCGGTCTCATCGAAGCCAAAGAGTCCAAGAGCCTTGGCGCACAGCCGGCCCTGTGCAGTACTGCGGAGCGCTGGGGCGCCGGGCGGGTCCGGATAAAGTGCTTGCAATTCCTCGGAGAGGGGCGAAGCACGAGTCAGTTGCTCACCTTTCTCTGAAGCCTGTGGCACGTGGCGCGTGCGGGACACGGAGAGTGGGCAGAGGTGACCCGCGGTCCTGGAAGACGGGGAGCCGAGTGCTGGGACCCGCGCGCTGCCCCCCGGCGGGGCGGATCCGGAGAAGCCTCCGGGAGCACTGCCGGCGCTGTCCTGTGAGCGGGCGGAGGTGCCGGATGGGAGAGGGCCAGAAAGCGCGTTCTAGGCTCGCGGAGAGCCGGGGGTAGTGGGCGCCCGCGTGCAGCTCTGGCACCAGGTGAGGTGAGACCGGAAGGACCAGTCGGGCCACTTGAGGCCTAGAATGCCGAGGTCACGACTGGTTTTGGCCTGGAAAGCAAAGGTCAAAAACTGGTGGTTTCCATTCACCCTGCGGATTTCCCCTGCTGCTTCTTCCAAGTTGAGGCAACCTAAAACCATATTCGGACATTTCCCGAACAGCCCAAATCTCCAGCTTCTTAGAAACGGGAGGACCTGGCCTCGTGGAGACACCGCAGAGCGGAGCTTCCCTGTCCATGTCCCTGAGGGGGAGGCTCGGCCGTCCGACCAGAGCCTGGGCTCGCCTGTGGTCTGTGTAGCCTTCATTTGGTTTTTTTGTTTGTTTGTTTTTTGTTTTTCTCCGGTACCGGGAACTGAACTCACGACCTTGCGCTTGCCAGGCAGGCGCTTTTGCCGCTGAGCTAAATCCCCAGCCCCTTAGCCTTCATTTGTACTTCATTTCTGCTAAACGGCCGGTGCTGTGCGGAGGACAGCAGGCAGCTAGAGACCCTAGCGTCGTAAACTCAGCTCAGCACCTGCGATAAGATCGCTAGGAACAGGAGCGCAGGGGCTGCGCAGTGCCCGCCAAGCCCAGCCGGTCAGGGTATCCGGTAGACGATAATCCCTCAGCGGTGCCCACTGTCCAGTCCCTAGAGCTCAGGACACAGCCTGTGTGGACTGCATAGAGGACGTTAAGGACCTTACGGTGGGGAAACTCCCCTGGACTATCAGGTACCCTAACCTCTGCGGTCAGAAACATTGATGTGACTGGGGAAGTAAGGCCGGAGGGCAGCAGCTCTGCTGACACAGATGGAGCAAGGGGGATGTTATGGTTGATACGCTGTGTCAACTTGGGGAGTCCAGAAGCTTGACTAAGTAGCTCAGCAGATCAACATCCTGGAGTGCAAAGGACATGTCCTTACAGCCCTAGGATGTTGTTCATTGTGTCAGTGTGAGTTCAGAAGGTTAACTGCGTGACTCAGCAGGGAGCCAGGGTGCTTACACTGTGCAAGACAAGGGCACGGAGACTGTGTGAGCGCTACACGCCCCCTGGGTGGGGGCAGCCTGCCTACAATAATAAGGGAGGGAAAGAGGCTGCTTGCTGCCATTGCCCTCTTTTGCGCTTGTTGCTTTGCTGTTTTCTTCCCCCATGAACATTTGTCCTCTGCCATGTGCCACTCTGCCTCGGAGCCAGCCAAGCATGGACTGAAACCTCCACAAACTGTGAGCTAAATAAACCTTTCCTTCCTTAACTTTGAGCGTTGGGTATTTTGTCTCAGCCACGAGAGAAAAGTAACCAAGACAGGGGATATGAGCCGGGGCATGTAGGCAGGTTCTTCAAACTGGGACTCCTAGTGCTTCCAGGAAGGAGCGGAGATTTGCAGGAACATAGATGCTCGCCCGTCCAGAGTCACGTCGAACTTCTAACTTCCAGAACCATGAGATGACAAGTGTTTGCTGTTGTGAGTCACTAAGTTTGTGGAAACCTGTGGCAGCAGCTTTAGACATCCAATAGAGTGGCTGAGGACAGAACTGACAGGTGCGCCAGCTGATTCTTGTGTCTGCTTGACTGGATTAGGAGCCCCCGGGAGAAGGGCTTGGTTGTAAGGGTACTAACTGAGTCTGCTGTTAGGAGTTGGGGGTTAGGTGAGGAAGTGGGTCATGAAGAGTGAGGGGAATTGTTCTGCTTCCTCAGCACTCTTTCCCTGCTTTCTGTGTCCCGGATGCCATGAGTGGAGCAATTGACCTTCACCACATCTTTGCATGGTGAAGATTCTGCCTTGGAGCCAGCACATCATGGACTGAACCCTCTGATACCACGAACAAAGATAAACCTCTTCTCCTGCGGGTGTCAGGTATTTTGTCCCAGTGATGGGGAAGCTGACCAACACCAGGGACAGACATTACCCATTCAGGGTGCTCTCACATGAAGAAGATTGGAACTGGAGGACAAGGCTTGGGCTGGAAGGCACACTTCACATTTCTTTAAAAGATTTTCCCTGACACGTTCTGGTTGTACACACTCACGGAGTGCAGTGTGACAGTGCCATGCATACACACAGCGTGCGTAAATCATGTCCAACACCCTTTCCACCTCCTTTCCCAACTTACCGAATCCCTGCTAGTAAATATTCCAGTACATGCTTTCTCTTATGAGAAGCTACAGAGATAGGAAGCAGGGAGAAGTTCAAATAATTCCCCCAATTTTTTATTCCACTGTTTCAAAAATATCTCAATATATATGCCAATTTATTTTATATGTACTGCTAGTTTATCCTCGTTCACTGAAAACAAAGTTTTGTGCTGTTTCTTTTTTTGTAGGAGAGAGTGTTTTTTATCTGTCACTTGTACTCTTGAGTAACATTTTGGCCATTCTTTTAAGATTATGGTACACAATAGACTATTGCTACACAATAACTATTGTTATTCTCTATTTGGTTTGGAAATTTATTTATTTATTTATTTATTTATTTATTTTTGGTACCAGGAATTGAACTCATGACCTCAGGCTTGCCAGGTAAGTACTTATGCTGTTGAGCTATATCCCCAGCCCTTGGTTAGGAAATTTAAAAAAAAAAATTTCATAGAAGTAGAATGTTTTAAAATATTTCTTTATTAATATCTGATTGTATTACATTAAGATAAAAAATTTTAAATAACTATTCGCTTTTAGGTTGACTCTTTCTAGTTACCAAATACAGTGGTGCTTCAGGTCATGAACTTGATTCCTTCCACAATTCTGGTCACAAACCAAGTCAGATGAGAACCAAATCCAATTCAGTGTTGATCTTATGGGGAAATTTGATTTGGTTCTCATCCAACTCCGTTTGCAACCAGGACTGTGGAAAGAATCGAGTTTATGAACCGAGGTACCTCTGTAGGAGACAGAATATGCAGCACTGTACCTGTCTTTCTGTATCTGGCTTCTTTCACTTAACGGAATGTCCCCCATTTCCACCCATTCTTTTGCAGACACTATGATTTCATTCTTCTCTCTGGCTGAATAATTTTCCATATATATATATAAAACATTTCTTGATCCAGTCATCTGACTCTAGGTTGCCTCTTCACCTTGGCTGAGTCTATCTCCTAGCAATAGTGAACAGTGTCACAGTACCCAGGAGCACAGCAGTGTCTCTGGCATGCTGGTCTCATCTCATTCGGATACACCCGGAAGTGGGATGATGGGATCATATGGTTGATCTTTCTTCAGTTTTTGGAGTACTCTCCACACTGTTCTCCATAACTGTTGAACTAATTTACATTCCTGTCAGCAGTGTGTGACTTTTTCTCTAAATCCTAGCTGGCATTTGTATCTATGCTTCTGTATGTATGTGTGTGTTATTGAGGTTGGAACCCAGAGCCTTGACACTGAACTATATATATTCCCAGCTCTTTTTTTCAGTTTTATATTTAGAGACAGGCTGTCTCTAAGTCACCAAGTTACCCAGCTTGTGCTCAAACTTGAGATCCTCCTGCCTCGGCCTCCTAGAGCTCTGGATTACAGGTGTGTAGCACCACACCTTGCTGTTCATGCTTTTTGATGAGGGCAGTTCTAACTGGAGTGAGACGCCATTTCATCGCAGCTTTGACATGCATTTCCCTAATGCCCAATGGTGTCAAGCATTTTCCGTATATTTGTGGGGCACCCAGATACCTCCTTTTGAGTAGTGTCATTTAGATCACTCGTGTTTGAATCGGATCACGTGGGGTTTTGTGTTGTTAAGCATTGTGAGTTATTAGATTCTCAACATCACCCCCGTGTCAGGTTTTTTTTGTTTTTGTTTTTGTTTTTTTTGGTACCGGGAATTGAACTCAGGACCTTGTGCTTGTCAGGAAGGTGCTTGTGCCACTGAGCTATATCCCCACCCCCGTGTCGGTGAAATCGTCGGTAAATACTTCCCCACTCTCCAGGTCGTCTCCTCCCTGTTGATTCCTGTGCCTTTGTGATCCAGAAATCACCGCCTGTAGCAATGTCCCCTGTGCGTCTCTGTACCAACTTCCTGGGTCCAGGTCTTACACTGATCCGTGCCGAGTTTCTTTTTATGCAGAGTGAGACGGGTCGAATCCCAAAGGCGCATGTAAATATCCAGTTTTCCCAGTACCGTTTTTGAGGGGCTGTCCCTTCTCCAACGCATACCTTTTGGCACCTGTGTTGAGAATCGGCGGGCTGTAGATATGTGGATTTGTTTCGCAGGTCTCCGTTCTGTTCCTTGGTCTGTAAGGTTTTTGGTCAAAACCTTGCTGTTTTGGGAACTGTCTCTGTAGGATGTCTTGAGATCAAGTATTATGATGCTTCCGGCTTTGTTTTTATTTTATTTATTTATTTTTGAGTCTGTCGTGCTTCCAGATGAATTTTAGGATCAGTTTTCAACCTCCGTGAAGAATTTCACTGGGAGTTTGATGGAGCTTGTTTGGAATCTGTAGATAATTTTGGGAAGTATGCACATTTGAATGATATTGATCCTTATACCCCAAGAACATGGTAGGTCTTTCAATATTTTTGTGTCTTTTTCGATTTCTTTGGCCAGTGTTTTATAATTCTCACTGAACAAGTCTTTGACTTCCCTGGCTCCACTTCTTCCCGTGTAGTTTACTGTGCAGCTGTTGTGAGCAGGAGGAGGAGTGCGCTCACAGTTGCTCTGTCAGCAGCTTCCCGCTGCTGGGACAGGGCCCCTGAGGCACACACGTGAAGCGGGGAGGTTTTCTGCATTGTGCTTCTGTCCAGGCGCAGTGGCCCCACAGCGGAAGCTTCACGACAGGACGCGGAGCGGCAGGTGCTCACCCCGTGGCAGTCAGCACGCGGAGAACACGGACGCCTTGAGAGAATGAGCGGCCCCAGACAAGAGCGCACCCTTCCTGGCACAGCCCGGGCCCGCTGCCTCCAGCCGGCCCATCTCCTAGCGGCACCTTGGCCAGGAACTCATCAGCGTTGATGAGGTGACTGTCCCATGTCCCGATCACCCTTCAAAACCTCCACTCTGAGGACACGTGACAGTGAACTCGTCTGTCAGTTTGAGTTAGAAGCGCCCGGCTACCTTGGCTCTGCACAGTTCTGGGTGTGGAAGACCCACCCCAGGGAGGACTGTTGCCAGGATGGTATAAAAGGGGCTGAAGAAGGAAGGCTGCTTCTTTCTTCAGAGGAGCTCCAGCCGGCACCGTCACCTGGGCCTTGGCTCCTGGCCTCCACTGCAGACCCTTCAGCCTGCTGATGCCAGCTCACGTGGGACACCACAGCGAGCTCCAGGCCTTCGACCGCATCCTCACATGAGGATAAGCGATTTTATCCTATAACGATTATCCTCCATTCCATCGGTGCGCTGTGTCTATGCTGGAGCATTTTTGCACCCTTGAGTCTGTACCAACTTGATCATCATGAGTGATCTTTATTTTTGTTTTTGTTGTTTTTTGGTCTTTTTGAGGCAGGGTCTCCCTATGTAGTTCAGGCTGGCCTTGAGCTCACTTTGTAGCCCACACTGGCCTCGAACTTGCAACGATCCTCCTGCTTCAGCCTCCCGAGTGCTGGGATCACAGGCGTGTGCCACCACGCCCGGCATGAGTGATCTTTGTGTACTGCTGCATTCAATTTGATAGTATTTTGTTGAGAACCATTGCACACATGTTCATCAGGAATATCAGTTACATTTTCCCTTTTGTGTTGTTTCCTTGTCTGCTTTTGGTACAGGGTAGTACTGGCCTCAGAGAAGGAGTTTGGATGGGTTCCCTCACTTGCAGTTCTGTGCACTGTTTGAGAAGAATTGGTACCAGTTCTTCAGAAGTTTGGCAGAATTGTTGGGCGTGGTGTCACACAGCTGTAAATCCAGCATTTGGGAGACTGAGGCAGGAGGATCATGAGTTTGAGGCCAGCCTGGGTTACCATAGCAAGTTCAAGTTCAGCTACACTCTATCTTAATCAAAACAAAATAAGCAAACAAGCAAAATGAAAGCTAGCTCGGTGAGATGAAGCAGGAAGCCCTCCTCTCCTGGGTGCTGGCCGGTCTTCAATATCGCTGGCTCATTAGTCGTTTTTCACCCACTCACTTTTTTACATCCCCATGGTTCCATTTTAAAATATCCAGAAATTTCCCATTTTTTCTAGGTTTTCCAAGTTGTTATCATAGAAGAGTTTTTCTGTTTGTTTGCTTTTTGGGACAGGGTCTCACTAGCAGTTCAGGCTGACCTTGAAGTTGGGGTGATCCTCCTGCCTCAGCCTCTTGATTGCCAGGACTACAGGCATGCACCACCACACCCAGCTAACACAAAAGTTGCTCATAGTAATCCTTATTTTCCTTTGTATGTCTGTCATGTCAGTCTTGAGTCTCAATTTACACATCTTTTTTTATTTCTTTGGGTCTTCTCTTTGTTTGTATGGACTATCTTAGTCAATTTTTGTTCGGTTTTGTTTCCTGAGACAGGGTCTTTCTATGTAGTCCACACTGTTCTTGAACTTGCTATGTAGCACAAGCTGGCCTTGAACTCATGGTCCTCCTGCCTCAGCCTCCAAGTGTTGGGATTACAGGCATGCACTGTCATGCCCAGCTATTTTTTCTTTTTCTTTTTACATTTTAAAGAACTAATTCTTTGTTTCATTATCTTTTATATTGTGCTCATCTCTGTTTTGTCTACATCCTCTCGGTGTTTGTCATTTCTTTCTTTGTGACTGGTTTTGTTTGGTTTGTTCTTGATTTTCTAATCCTTGAGATATATCATTAGTTTATCTGAAATTTGTCTTTTAATTTTTTTTCCTTTTTCAAGAATATTTATTTATTACAGTACCGGCAATCAACCTCGCCTCCTCCCATGCTAGGCGATCACTCTTACACTAGCTGCACCCCAGCCT